TTAGTTGAAGGATTCAAGTAGTTGTCAATAAGTCTTTTTCTGTGGTTAAAGGACATTAATGAGAAACTGAGCAAATTAGAGTATGCAGACATTACAATACAACTTAGAGATTTAGTTAATGTCAGAGTCTTCCTCAGCATCCGAGTCTCTGAGGAAGTTTTGTGGAAAAGTGGATGTAAGTGTAGGTTGTCGCCAATTAAAGGTGAAGACTTCTGAGTCAAATTCTGGGTTATAATTCAAACTAAGTCGCTACAAAAGAAACGGATGATTTAAATCCGAGACGGTGTCAGCCATAAATAAAACAACGCAAACCTGGCAGCTTGCAATTAAGCCCAAGTTGTAGTTAGTTAATTGTTGCGGTTGATTTTTGTGAGCAGAGCGGCAGATTTTGTGCTGCCAGAGATGTAATTCAAACACGGAGGTGTGCATTACCCAGCTGAGCTCTCCCTTGTTTGATTTAAAGACCGGTATTGACCTGCAGTTCGCTGGCTCGTGTTTAATCAAAATGAACACGGCGACAGTTTGTGAACTGCCAGTCTTGTTGAAGCCCTGCGAAATCCTTCTTTACACCCAGAGGTACGGCGATCCCAGCGCGTCCCGCAAAGAGCTCAGCGAGAGAATGAGTGAGTGAGGACTCTGGTATGTGGTGTTTTGTCAGACAGCGTTCTCCCTACCACGCGGCTGACAGCGCTGATATCCCTTGGTGAGTGTGATTTTCAGCATCCGTGGGGTTTTTTTCCCTTCCTGTCTATCAAATCAAACTATTCCTGCCTACGTTTCTGCGGTTCAGACTATTGTAGCATTTTGGGTCCAAGTTTGATCGACAGCTTTCGGCGATGATGGCAGAGGTATTAGGACTTTTCTCATTTTCCAGTTACCTTACAATTTTAGAAATGCAGTAAAACTTCTGTGAATGCTGAAAATGATCAATTATTGGTTCAAGATGTCACTAAAAAGAGGTGGGTCAGGGGTGGGAGGGGTGGAGTTAGATGTCAAGGGTCATGCCAACTTGTCAGTGCGTGCACAGGCCAAGCAGTACCTCTCCTCACTTCCTGCTGCCAGTGTGCGTCTGTAGTCAGAGAGGATGCTGGGAGATAAATTTAGACCTCCAGCTCCCTCTCCATCTGCCATTGCTCAGAGTAGGCTGGTTTCCATGGGAACCTGCACCAGGCTGCTGCCAGTAAGAAAGAATGGGATGGGGTGAGATCTGTGTGTTTGTGTGTTTGAAGGGTATGACAGCAGATTTTTTTTTTTTAGACGGCACGTAAAAAGGTTTATTAGTTATCAGAGTGTAAAGTATCCCTATACATTAATCTTATCCGTCATAACCAGCTACATGAATACGTCAGAGTCTCGATGAGGATATGACGAAGGAACACAAAACCCTCCCCGTGGGTCAAGTTTGAACTTTTGAGCTAAGTGACGGATATACTGAAAGTCAGAATGAAAGTTAGTTGCGTTGTTGTACATGTTAATCGAAACCAGTGCAGGAAAAAAAAGTAATTAACGGCCAAACATATTATTTTGCAGATATTTACCGTTATTTGAAAGACAAGTTATCTGAAATAATGTTTTTCTGTGGAATTTTAGCTTTTACTTATATATAGATAAAAACGGTGTAGCTGCAATGTGTAACCACAGCTAAGCACATGCATTTTCTGGTGAGGGTTTTACAGTTTTAGAAGTATAACTGCTGGGCAGAGATGATGAGTGGAGACAGGGTGTGACGGTGTGTGACAGCACGTGGGGGTGTGTGTGTGTGTGAAAGAGATGGAGTGTGAGCTCTTCCGTGTGTCAGGGCTCCCTTGGGTACCTGCAGCAACGTCTGTTTCTGCTGACAAAGCCCCTTTTGCATGTACACACATGCGCACGCATGCACTCTGCACTCGTTGCTCACTCATTCTGCCCTCTCGTCTTTTTGAGCTGTTTGGTTATCGCATTTTAAAAAAAAAAAAAAAAAACTAGTTCACGCCACAAATCTCTGAATGCACCATAAGGCTGCTACAATGGTTCAGGACAGATGAAATCTTTTTTTTTTTTAATTTTTTTCGGGGGGTGTGGTTTGATCTGACATCACCGATAAAAAGAATATAACACTGTATGACAGCTGCGCTGGCAACTTCCTGCTCGCACCTCAGTCTAGAAATAGAGGAAAGATCGACCTTGCTTCACCCTCATCAGCATGATACAAGGTCTTAATGTGATCTTTTTTTTTGTTAAGTACACTAGTGTATGTATTAGGATCATGAGGAAGGAAAACCCCTCATCAAACTACAGGAGGATCGGTTGACGGGGGTAGGTCACCTCGGGGCGCTGCGGCTGATTGGTCGGTCAGATCTGTCAGAGTGGATTTGGGGCTACTAAGTATTATAAGGTATTGCTGTGAGGAGGGTAGTGCTGTTCACTGTATGTACTCTGTAAGTGGAAGAGTCTGTGCGTGTGTGTGTGTGTTAGGGTTTAATGTCGCCTAGACTTTTGCATTCATTTCCCTCGTCTTCCTGGGAAGGCCTTAACTGTGTGCTTCCCCATTCAAACCTGGCAGTCTAGACTGCCATGAATAATGTAAGCAGTGCTCTTCCCAACCTTAAAGCCTTCTAATTGCCCTGTTTAAGGGCTGCATCAACAGCTATGCTTGGGATCATTAAAATTACACCCTGATAGCCGACTACATGAAGAGAGACATTTATTACGGCAGGGTTAAGGAAGGCTATTTGTCTGCTTTTCTCATGCTCAGTGCTCAGAATCGTCCTTCTACACACTTTCTTTTTAACTGTCTGTCTGGCTACATTTTTCCTTGTCCTTTTCTTTCTCTCTTTTCTTTAACCCACTATATTTGTTTGTCATTTTTCTTTTCTTTTCTTAAGCGTGTCGGTATTTACCCTTCAGTCTGTCAACTCTTCATTTCCTCACAATCTAACTCATCTTAATTTAGGCCTGGGGAGTAATGTGTCCCCATGCGTTAACACAGAAAAGCTATTGCTGAACCGTAGACAGTCCTCGCGTAAAACTGAGAATATGGAAGCCAGAAAAGTGAAGATGGAGAATGTTAATGCTGTTTTGGTTTGTTATGTCGTTTAATTGCTGAGTGTTGATGGTGAAAGTCTGCTGTAATCAAAGCACTAGTCTGCTTAGAGAAACACACACTGCACAGATAGATGATGGGCCCTTAGCAGATGTGTGGAAACGTGGAAATGGAGCTGAGAATCTGGCGAGCTTTTTTTCCAGGAGGAAGAGTGATTCACTTTCTTTTTATTCCACTTTAAACTGGCTCTAATGAAGGCTGACTGTGCTGTGTTTTTCTAGACATATGGAGAGAGTAAAAGCGTAGCTCGTTATAAAGAACTGTCATTGCTGCCTTGCCACCCCTTGCACCTTAAGCCGCAGTCTTCTGCAGGGTCTGTTTATTCAGCCACTGGATCACTGATTCAGTCTTTTCTCTCTTCCTCATTCCTCAGCTCTCTCCTTCCTAGTACTTTATATGCATGTATAATAGGAAATAGGTACATTTTCACCCCCTTTCAGTCGGTATCTGTGCGGCGCATTAGGTGCATGCTGTCTGCACTGTTGCAGAGGTCTGCAGCTGTGAAGTGAACACACGTGGTGTTCTCCTTCAATGAGCACTGAAGCGCAGATTCCGACACGGGGAGCTGTAAGTACTATCAGCGTCTTAGATGGTGACTGATACTCTGGACGTGACTGTGCTGGGACTGTAAGCAGTTGGGCACGGCTGCTCAGCAATAATGTTATGATTGACCCAATCCATTCCCACAGTGTGTTTTGATTGGCTTTGGTACAAGAATCCCGTGTCTTGAGTTGAGATGGAGTGCAGGCTTGGCAGTAAGTGGGGAAATATTGCAGTACATACATCTTGATAAAATATGAAATTTCATCATAGCCTCATCTCTGACTCTCTGATGAGCTATACTTGGCTCCTCATAAACGCAGCTTTTTAGTAGTGTAAGTGTGAAAGTGTAAGTGTGAAAGAGCAGATGAAAGGTCTTACAGGACCGTGTCACTGTAGACTCTGTGTGAAGACACTACTCATAAACACTGCACCCTGGTGGCAGTGTAGTGCGAGAGGCTAACACTGACACCCAGTTGCTGTCAAGTTCTTCTTCTCCACTAGAAAACAACCCCCTTCATTTACACCCTTGAGCTTCGGAGCCAGATCAGATAGGCATGGACTATATTTCGAACATTTGTTTTGACTCTTTGCCCTGACGCTGCGGTCTCCTTTTCTGGTGCCTGTAGTTTGGATGTTGACTTTCTGGCCCCGGGCTCCTCAGACTCCTGCCGAGTAAGCAGGCCGTCAGTTAGATATGATTGTGATTCCACTGTTTGGAGTAGAAGTCTTAATTTATAATTTGTCACTCAAGAGCTGTGCACACACCTTGGGGTTGTGTGCATACATCAGATGAGCACATGTTCAGTTTCCCGTGTGGAACAGCTTGACCTTGCATTTTAATATAGATTTGCAGTACCCACTATCTTAATAAGAGTTTAAGTGAGGACAGATGAGAGCAATAACTTATTGATGCACTTACCTTGTCAGTGTCGTCATGACAACACTGACCCCATTCAGTAGCAAGAAAGGTAGCCCAATTTCTCATAATATGATATGTGGAAGTATATTTTAATATGACATTTGCTAATAAGACACTAATGATTTTGACCTTCCCCTTTATCGGTGTAACTCTTTTGGTTTTTAAAAGCACAGTAAGTCTTCCTCACAGGGCCCACTGTGTTTTCTGTTTCTAAATATGATCTGTTGATTTCTTACTTTTGACTGCAGTCAAAACAGCAGGACCTTAATTGCTACTTTGTCTTGTTTTGTTGGTTTTATTTAGAGGAACTTTGCTGGAAAGTGAAGAAGGGAAATGTTATGTTTACAGTATTTTCACATGGACCTTTTTTGAAAAAAATCTGCTTGATGATCGATTAATTTCCCTTTTTCTGATTCAGTGCTTTCATTGCCTCCTTTGCTTTTTCTGTTTCTCTAGACCCATTTAAAAGACGAACAACTAACAGTCTTGCCAACGAACAAAGAAGATGCAAAAAAGACCTTGGGAGGACTTTTAAAATGGCTGAGGCTAGATAGAAGCAGAGCTGCTTTGAACGGAGAAATGATCCATGTTTACCTGCATCCATGCGGCTCCAGGGCACCTTTTAATGATGCCTCATTTTGTCCTCTTGCATAACTTTTGGCCCACTCTGAAAAAGGTGCTCCATTTTGATTTACAACTTAGTCTGTCAATGTTCCTATGCCTCTGACCTCTCTGCTGCCATGCGGTTAGACCAATGAGGCTCCGAGAGCCTTTCGTTACGAGTCTGTGAGGTCTCCTCCCCACTCTATGGAGGCTGAGCCCAGCCATCCGGCTGATGGGGAGCGCTCTGGAAGGCAAGCGCAGCAGCATGTGACATCTGAATCTTCATTGGGCTCTTGTCCACCTCAGCAACCCCAGCAGCCTTCTAATCCTCGTCCTGTACACAGAGCCTTGGGCCGCCTACAAAACCGCCAACCCAAGCGCACTGACCTGCTTCGGTTACAGCAGCAGCAAGCAGTAGCATGGCAGCGTTCAGATACCCCAGGTCCCTCAGGAGGCAGCTTCTTCTCTACAAGCTCCTCGTCAACCTTATCCCTCCCCTCTACGTCCTCCACCCAGGGTGAGCAAGCTCACGGCGTTCCAACTCACTCCAGTCAACAGGGCCTAGAAGGGGTTAGCTCACCTAGGAAAGGGGAGAAGAAACCCCAAAAACCAGGGAAATATGTGTGCACTTACTGTGGCCGTCCATGTGCCAAGCCAAGCGTTCTTCAGAAACACATACGATCGCATACAGGAGAAAGACCCTACCCATGTGCGCCCTGTGGGTTTTCCTTTAAGACCAAGAGCAACTTATACAAACACCGCAAGTCCCATGCCCATCGTATTAAAGCGGGTCTGGCATCCAGTCGAGATGAGCTCAGTTTGAGTGGTGCAGAAGGCAGTGGCGCTGGAGAAGACCCTGAGGAACACACAGAGGGAGAAAGCACTGAGTCTGAGGACGAGACAGGTCAGCACAGAAAATCCTCTAAAGAGATGCTGGGGCAGCATAGGAAAGGAGGTAAGGAGCGCCTGGGAAGCTCAGAGGAGAGCCAGAGGCCTGAAGACTCCCATGCCGTCAAGCAAAGACTTGCACTGAGGCTTAGTGAGAGAAAACGTGGGCCCATGGCTTCTCCAGATGACCCACCCTCTTCCCTCTCCACATCATCTTCTTCTATTGGGCCTGGCAGTAAAGGCAGCACAGAGTCGGGCTACTTCTCCGGATCAGGCAGTACTGACATATGCCAAGTTAGCCCTCCAAGTTCCAGTGCCAAAACCTACGCAGAAATTATTTTAGGGAAATATGGAAGGCTGGGAGGGCAGCAGCGGAGTCCCCACCAGCAGCAGCCTCATCCCTCACATTCCTCATCCTCAGGAACCGAGGAGAAGAACATCTCCTTCGCCGTACCCAAAACCCAAGTAATAGAACACATTACCAAGCTCATCACTATCAATGAAGCAGTAGTAGACACGAGTGAGATTGACAGCGTTAAGCCTCGACGCTCCTCCCTGTCACGGAAGAGCAGCATGGAGTCGCCCAAGTTTACTGCCCCCAAAGACCCCTATGCCTTTGATCCCAAAGGAGAAGCCGCAGGCCCCAGTGGTTTGAGGCACATCCATAATCCTGACGCTGATCCACCGGGTACGCAGGACCAGTCAGCAGTGCCTCTGCTTAGAAGCCACTCAATGCCAATATCAACCAGCCAAGGAGAGCCCTTTGCCTCTGGCACCATGTCACCCAGAGGTTACCGCCTCTGCCAATCTTTTGATGAGCAGCAAGCAGTGGTCGCAGAGATGAGGATCGGCCATGCGCAGCGTATGCTCAAGCGCCAGCCTGCCATAGAGGTTCCCCTGGGAGCCGAGTCAATGTTGGAGGAGCCCAGTCCCACCACATCCTCCTCCTCCTCAACAAGAGGCACCGAACTACCCAGACAGCCACAGCAACAACAGCAACAGCAAAAGAGTCCCGCCGTGTTTGAATGTGGAACATGTGGGGCCCGCTTTCAAGAGAGTGAAGTCTTCGAGGCCCACAGAAGCATCTGCCCAGGGCAGGAGCAAGAGAGCAGGGATGCAAGCAAAGCGTGCAGTGGAGATCGCCCGCTGATGATGCACCATAAGTTTCGAGCGTTAGCCATGGCTGTGAGGAAGCGGAGGAAAGAGGAGAGTCTGGAGGAGGATCCTCCCAGTCCTGGATCTGTAGCTGTGTCCGGCAGCTCTGGAGGCCTCATTCCAGTACCACGCAGACCAGAGCAGAAGCAGGCCCTCTCAGGTTTGTCTCTCAAACATACAAAATATATGTTTTTTAGCTAAAATCATTATGTTAAGTTGCATAATCGATACAGCTATTCTCTTGAAGACCTTTTCTATGCCATTTTAGCATCTGAGACATGCAGATTATCATATACCTAAAAGTTTAAGCAGTGAATATCTAAAACTACATCACTTTAACATAGTTAAACAGAAAGCGGGAAAAACTACTACCATGTAACCCGTAGCACTGTACAGTAGATGGGAATAGAAACCACGAAATGCTAAGTTGCATCACTCAAATGCACAATACTGATGTCCTATAATGGGAGCTAATTCTTCTACTGTTTGTGTCTAGGTGTTTCCTTACAGACTGAACCAAACCAACAGCAGCAGCAGCAGGACAGGAAGGGTGTGTCTGTCATCCAACACACTAGCTCTTTTGAGAAGCAAGAGAGTATATCTATGGAAAGTCAAGATCCAGACCTCAGAGAGAGTCAGCAAACACAACCTGAGCCAAAACCATCACCCTCTACATCTCGCCTCATCCGCCAGCCAAATATTCAAGTGCCGGAGATACTTGTTACTGTGGAGCCCGATGCTGAAATGCCACCTGTGTCACCCCCGCTGACAGCATCCTCATCAAAGGTAAATGTACCTTTTTGAATTCTGTTTTTTTTTCTTGCTTGTTTACAGTCTTCATACAATGCGTTTGTCCAAGTTAGCATCATTACCATTGACTTAAATACTAAATTTAAAAAACTACTCATAATGTGTTTGATTCAAGCCCATCTTGTGGTGAGTCATCATACAGTGTCAGTGCCTTGGATTCGACCTAATCAAGCAGCTAACCTTTGGAAGATTCTCACACAATTTCCAGTTTTCATATACAGTGTTGGGGTTATGTGCTGTTGTAATTAAAAAAAATGTATCTGTCCTAGGAGGCAGAGAGAGTAGAGGAGTTCCACTGGCCTCAGCGAAGTCAGACATTGGCCCAGCTCCCTGCAGAGAAGCTGCCACCAAAGAAGAAAAGACTCAGGCTGGCAGAAGCTGCCCAGTCTTCTGGAGAGTCCAGCTTTGAGTCTATGTCTTTGCCTCGCAGCCCCAGTCAAGAAAGCAACATTTCAAACATTTCTGTTTCTTTTGAGGATGTAGCACAATCAGAGCAAGCTGCCCGAGCTCCCAGTAGCCAAAGTTCCCAGATGTTGATGGTGCCATCTGCTTCTCACCAACACCACCAAAGCCACAAGGAGATGAGGCGCTCAGCCTCAGAGCAGGCCCCAGCTAGTCCACAACAAACGGAGCAGATCCCAGAGACCAGAAGTAAGTCCTTTGACTATGGATCCCTGTCTCCTCAGCAGTCTGCGTCCTCCTGGAAGGAAAGGAGAAAGTGTCTTCTAGTGAAGCATGCTCCCTTAGGGGAACCAGAACAGGAAGTAGGAGGCAGAACTAGTCAGCTGCCCAGAGCAGAGAGTCCGCAACCTGGTCCTTCCTACTCTAATCTTTCTTCTCAGTACTCCACTGGAGTAAGCTCCCAGTTTAGCCTCGATGCCACTGGAAAGGCTTTGCAGCTGTTACAGCCACAAATCTCTTTATCCTCTCAGGAGGTGCTTCCTTTGCACCCCAGAGGGCATCAAGCATTCCCCTCAGGGTCTTTGTCCCAGCTCCTCCCGGTCACCACAGCCATATCGGAAGTACTATCCACCCAAATCATTCACAGAGCATTTCTACAGTCACACACAGAATCTCCGCCTGTACAGATACATCCAGCACAAATCCACATGGCTGAAAGGTTGGGAATACCCCTCCATCAGCTTCCTCCCCTTTTTCCTCGCCACTTTTCTTCCAGGAATACATCTAGCCAGGCCATGTACTTGCCCGTTCCTCCAAGATTTACCACACACATTTCTTCTCCTCAAACTACAGAAAGCAGACCCCCCATTTCTTCTGTGTCTTCTTCACTGACTCAGGAGTCCCTTGTGACAATCTCCTACCACCACCCGAGGCCGGTCATCGCCACATGCCTGGCACAGCTTGCACCAGTAGTGTCTCTTGTGGTGCCAGTACGCCTCCAGACTCATATACCTACATATGCCAGTGCAATGTATACCACACTTTCCCAGATTCTGGTTTCCACCCGCTCACAGGAACCAGTTTCTTGCACGGCTATGGTCATCATGGGCCAGGTGGAACGGGAGACACTGCAAAGGAGCTACTTGAAGGTCCCCTCTCCAGATGTCAAGAGCCTTCTTCCTCTGTCTCTGTCATCAGAGCTGGCCTCAGGATCTGGAGATGGATACGGTCCACTAGGGGCAGGAGGAAGTAAGCGCATGCTGTCCCCTGCAGCCAGTCTTGAGCTCAGCACAGAAGCCCAGCGTCACCAGAAAAGAGTTAAAGAGGAGGAAGAGGAGGAGGAGGAGGGCCACCATAAGGAAGAAGAGGAGGAGAGCCGTGTGGAACCAAAGGTAGTACAGGAAGAAGAAAGGAAGGCAACTGGGAAAAAGCTGGAAAAGGAAAAGAAGAAATCGGATACATTAGAAGTAACGAGTGTGGATGTGCATGGGCAGCCAGAAGAGCAGCCAAGGAAAAATGACAGGGAAGAAAAGGTGGAAGAGAAGGAAACAACTGAGAAGATCACCCAAAAAAAGGAAGCTGTGTCAGCTGTGGAGGTGGGCGCAAGCGCATCTTCGTTCCCCAGCCTCCACACTTCAACCTCAGTCAACTGGTGCTACCAGAAGTATGTTAAACCCAACCCATCTGCCCAGAGGGACCCCCGCACTTCAGTTTATTCAACCTGGAGCGTCAGCGCTCACAACCCCAACTTGCCAGGCATCAGCACAAAGGTCGCCCTGTCTCTGCTCTGCTCTAAACAGAAGCACACTTCTGAGATTTATACCATGGCTACGGCCCCTACTCCAGCCGAAGGCAAAGTGGCCCCTGAAAGCAGCAGGACGCCACATGTGTCAGAGGTAAACATAAACACAATAAACATACATTTGCACTTAAATGTTGACCATGTTTAATTTGCTTACATCAGAACATTTCACGGTCTGTTTTGCTCTTGAATACTTCTACATCTTAGAAGTCAAAGCTCTGCGGTCTTCATCTCTTTAGGTTGCTAGCATAGTAGCATAGTATGCTAGCATAGTAGCATACTATGCTAGTATTTTCTAACATGGTCACCAATTGTGCCGTTAGAAAAACATAATGATAAATCAGTGAGATACCCTTTTAACAACTGGAATTATACTGAATCTTGCTTTAACAGCACTTAACATTTTATTATAAGTTGTTTTGAATTTTTTTCCCATGTGTGTCTTGAGTGTAGGTACATGCCACCCCACCCAGCACCCTCACTGAAGTAAAGGAACAGCAGCAGCCTGAAAAGAAGGAAGAAAATAAAGAGATGCGAGAAGTGGAGAGACCATCCACCTCCAAGCAGAGCGAGCCTTCTCGGGTTTGCATCTTTGAAGGAGGGTAAGAATTGTTTATTTCTATAGTTTTAAAATATGGCAGCTCCTCATTACACTTCTTCATAAACCAATGCCCGTTGACTGCAAAACAGCCTATGGAGAGCTGACAAGAGTGCATGGAGAAAATACAATAACAGATGGGAGGCCACGAGTCCAGAGGGACTTTATTTGTACCTGTAGCCAAGCTTTTTCCTCTCACTGCTGGCACGAATGTCTGTGTTTTAGAGGTGTTAATTTGGAGAGCTAGCAGCGTCTGTGTGTGTATGTGTGGGTTTGTGTGTGTGTGAGAGGGGGGAAAAGGTTGTCTCCAACTTTGTGAGACTCTCATTAATATTTTTATGGCTATAAAAAGTCACACGGAGGCGCAGTATGAAGCAGTCTGCAAGCAGTCAGAGTCACAGTCGAGGCTGTCATATTTGTCTACAGACCAGATCAGGGCAACACATAAATGCTTTCCACAAATGTCTGAGTGATTTTTCCTCCAGCACCAAGTGCTTTATTCCCGAGGTTTGAGTATTTCGAGCTAAAGTTTCCCCATTAAATGTATCTGATTAAATCTTTATTTTATGATTTCCTCCTGTTTGTCCACTAAGCCTTTCATGGTTTGACTCGTTCCTTACACCCCTATTCAGCTTTCAGGTCCCCGCCGTCAGCTGATGACCGTCCTTCGGTCTAGATTTAAACTCAGAGGAGTCTGGGAATTTTCTGTGTTTGCCCCCAAACCGTGCAGTCAAATCTGCTCCTTCCACTGAGATTTTGAAAACTAGACTTAAAACTTGTTTTTACGTAATGTCATTCGAGTCTGCCTACTTGCTCACTGTGTCTCCTGTGCCTTTTTTGACTGTGACTGCATGTTTAGCACCCACTATATCTCATATCTGTGTACTTCTTATCTATTCCCCTGTTGTTTTCTGTACAGCACTTTGAAAAACGTGGGTTTTTTAAACTTTGAATTGAGTGGAATTAGAAAAGAATAAACGGAAGGTGTACAATGTTGCCATACGTGGATAATTTCCTATGATACTGGTATTCTTTTTGGTATGGTTTGGTTTTGGTAAATTTTCTATTTTTGAGTTTTTCTCTTCCAGAGAGTTAACACTTGGCAAACCCTGCATTTCCTGCTTAGGTGCATGAATGTCAGGTGTAAAGAAGCTGTCCGCGTAACAGTAGATAAGGCACTGAACTTCAGGAAGTGCACTTTCATCCACAAAAAAACCCCAGAGGTGTTGCCCATTTCTCTCTGGCAGCTCTTCCAGTTTCACTTACCTGCACATTATTTTGTTTTCATTCCCTCCAAAACCTCCTCTGTGTCCTTCCTGTCTCTCATCCCCGCTCCTTGATGTTCTCCCGCGTTTCCACCATGCATGCAAATGGTCACAGCTACTCAATCTTGAAGAGAACAGAATGCTTTTCATCCTGACTCATTATCCCTGTCTCCCTTTTGTCAAGACTTTGAAATCATAGCTGTGTGCCACTCATTTCATTCTAGAAAGCAGTCTTTTATGAATATGTATCATGCAGCTTTGTTTATGTTCCAGTGACTTGCCAGATTTTATCTGCTTCCAGGCTTCTCTGGAGTCTAATAGTACCACACTGTCATCTCAATAATAAATTTCAGGAAATGGGCAACAATAAATGCTTTTTACTAGTTGTGGTGAAAGTCTGGGGAAGTTTATGTGGGCAGCAGCTGAACTGATTCAATGAAAAACATGATTGGTTTCTCTGGTGCAAATGGTTAACCATGCATGTTTTGTTACACCCTGTAACACTTTACCCGTGCCACTCAGACAGACTGAGGACAAAAATATTAGTTTATTCTGTTTCTTTCTGGTCAAATAAGGTAGCTTAGTAGCTCCTTTTGGTTAGAAGCATTATTCTTCCCACCATCCAACAAGGCTTTCATAAAGCTAAAACATGATTTTTGACTGAATGTACTGAGAGATATGCTGCTGATTTAATGCTCGATAACTGAAGTGAAACTTCTGCCGTTCTCTTACTTTACTTTTTTTTTCTTTTCGGAGATGTGGGTGGATATTTTTAGCAGTAGCAAGAAATACACGGCAGGTAAACAGTAGCCAGCTCCTGAATGAACACGACACAATCTCACTGTTGAGGCTATTTTACAGTTGTGTAACAATTTGTTATGATTTGCCGTTACTGGTTCTGTTATACAACGGGGAACATTCACAGCCTGGTCTCTTGTAGATGTCGTGACATCCTGTAATTAGACACAGCCGGCACAGATTGGATATTTACAATTCAGAATGATTTGTGAGTTTCCCCACGAGTAGTGGATTTTTCATAGAGGACAATTCATTCAGATATAAGACCTCTGTGCCACGCCGTGTCTACAAATAGCCTTTTGGTAAACATGAAGCTTGTGCATAAACAATGTTTTTTTATAGAGTGGACCTAAATGTGTTGCTTGATTTTTATATGTAGTATCTATTTTAGGTTGGTGGCCATAGCCAGGCTTCCCTTCCCTCTCTTTAGCCGCTGATGTTGTTGGCAGGGCCACCCGTTCAGAGCAGAATAGCTGCTATTCTTTACACCAGGGTGTAGTGGAGGGACTCAGTGCTGAAGGGGTTTTGGTGGGGCTTCCCCAACCTGCACCATAAAGAAAGCCTTGTTTCTCAGTTTTGTGTGTGTGTGTGTGTGTGTGTGTGTGTTTGTGCATGTATCTGTGCTGCAATCACTAACTTCCACAGTTATCTTTGTTATTATCACTGAATTTGCTCGCAGTGCAATGTGAAAGAAGAAAGAAGGATGACTGCACTCTGCAGTAATCCTCCAAGTATCTTTGAGTGCATATTTTGGGCTTTGGGGTTTGCAGCTTTCATTATCACCTTCTGGGCTCCTAGCAGCTGTTTTCAGGGTTTAACTGAAAACTAGCTGGCGAACATAATGCTCTGTCTCTTAGATAAATCAAGAAATATGTGTATGCGTGTCTGGCTGTCTTATCTCATCCTATCTCGTCAAACATTCATCAGATCCACTTTAAACTTGGCAGGTGCGCTGCCGAGGACACGAGTAAGTGCAGTGCCAAATTTGAGGTTATCTGGACGAGCGGGTCTCATATTTTGTCTGCGGTTTTCTATTACCTTTGTTTCCTCAGGTTGGCCGTTCTGCTCTGTGCTGAATGGGTTGTCATTGTGAATACATTCGTTGCCTTGTTGCAATCTCAAGGCCCATACCGCAAAGCTAAAACATCACAACTAAGTGCCAAATCGACTTTAAAAGGTTAAAAAAAATACACAGTCTGAAGTTTTTATGTTTAAGTGTTAATGAACAACCATCAAAGCTGAATTCTATTGACATAAAAAATCAAAAAAGCTTTTTAAAATCACGCAGGAAGGAAAAACACACAAACTGAACGCTGAGCAGAAGGTTTGAAGATGGGTATTTCTTGCTGTGAGGCCACAGTCGTAACTCCTGCCAAGCTGGTCTTATTTATTATTTGTTTGCTCAAATGGTGGCGGCACTGTCGTGCGGTGGTTAGCACTGTTGCTTCGTAGCAAGAAGGTCCTGATTTGAATCCACCGTGTAACCGGGGCTCTCCGGGTACTCCCACAACTTCAATGACATGCAGTTAGTGGGGTTAGGTTAACTGCTGATTCTAATCTAACCC